CTTATTGAGTATTTTTACATCAATGTTCATGAGGGAGATTGGCCTGTAGTTTTATATCTTAGTTGTGTCTTCGTGTGGTTTGGGCATCAAGGTAATTATAGCCTCATAAAAAGAGTTTAGCAATGATCCTTCTGCTTCTATTGTGTGGAATAATTTGAGGAGAATTGATATTACCTCTTCTTTGATTTTGGAAGAGGAGACTGCCAGCCTACAATGCCACCACCAGAGAGTCTGGGAAACAGGGAGGACCCTGAGAAAGACATGCTTGGTACCCTGGAGAAAGGGAACTGGACATTATCTCCTGAGCAAAATGGGAGCATGGGGAGGGGAGGGGGAACTGGGAGAAAAAGAGGGGGAGAAAAGGAGGGGGGCAGAGGACATGGGGGACAGGAAGATTTAGTAAGGGGAAGAATAGAGGAGAGCAAGATAAGAGATATAGTAACAGAGGGAGCCATTATAGTTTCAAAGGGAAATCTGGCACTTGGGAGATTTCCAGAGATCTACAAAGATGACACCAACTGGCAATCTAAGCAATAGTGGAGAGGCTATCTTAAATGCCCTTCCTGGATAATGAGATTGATGACTACCTTATATGCCATCCTAGAGCCTTCATCCAGTGGCTGATGGAAGCAGAGGCAGACACCCACAGCTAAACACTGAACTGAACTCCTGGAGTCCAGTTGCAGATTGGGAGGAGTGATGAGCAAATGGGTCAAAACCAGGCTAGTGAAACCCACAGAAACAGCTAACCTGAACAAAGGGGAGCTCATGGACCCCAGACTGATGGCTGAAAGGCCAGCATGGGACTGATCCAGACCCCCTTAACATGGGTGTCTGTGAGGAGGCCTTGGCAATCTATGGGGCCTTGTATAGTAGATCAGTATTTATCTCTAGTGCATGAATGGACTTTGGGAGCTTATTCCACATGGAGGGATGCTCCCTGAGCCTGGACACATGGGAGACAGCCTAGGCATTGCCTGAGATGATATGACAGACTTTGGAGATCACCCCATGGACGGCCTCACTCTCCCTGGAAAGCAGAGTGGGGATGGAGTGGAGGGTGGGGGAGGAGGGAGGGAAAGGGAGCTGGGATTAACAAGTGAATCAAGCTTTGTTACTAATTTAAATAAAAAATAAATTATAAAAATTTAGGAATGTTGAATATTTCTAATAGCAGTATAAATAAATAAAATAAAATTTCAGACTCAATACTTATGTCATAAATATTGTCTGTGGTTCATGGCACAGAATGTGTTAAACTTTTCAAACATCAATTATCCTGAAGGTAAAACCTCTGACAAAATTTTGCATTGGCAAAACCTTCCTTGAATGGCTGACTTCTACATTTCTTTCATAACTGGAAGAAAACAAGCATGACTCTCTGTTAATACCTGAAAAGAGAATTTGCCCAAAAGCAATTGAGCTCACTTGCAATTATTCAAGTTGGAAAACATGGTGATAAGATTTCCAAACACTGGAAATTGTTGACAGCACATAAATTTTTAAGTTACATATATACATAAATAATATTATTATACAAGTACAAAATGTGATCTTAGTATTAAAGATATTAATAAGGCATTGATGCATTTTGTCTTTTCCAATTCATTTTTTCATTGCTGTTGTTTATTTCCTTTTTAATAAAATATGTCAATATACATATCTGGTGGGCTAGGAACTCTACACAGAGCAGGTGTGTCTTCCTTTTGCGGGTGTATTTCAGTTTCTTGGAGTCCAGGCATACACCATACCAGAGTTCAAGCTTTCATTACATTAAAGAAGATCTGTCTATTTAACGTAAGAGCTACTTGGTAATAAAATATCTTTTCTTCTATAATAAGTAACTAAATTCTTTTACATAATTTTTATTTTTTGATTATTAGATTGAAATGTATGGAAGAAAGCTAAGTGTAACTTATTATTACATATAAATACATTAATTATAGGAGGGCTTGACTATATTTATTTTCACTTCAAAACTCCTACAACCTAGTAAGATTCATCATTTAATATTCTTAATTCTTCAACTCACTAAGTTATTTTATCATATATACTTCTCACATCTTAAACTTCTATCCTTCCTTATGCAAGTCTAATTTTGTTATTTTATTTCATTTACTCTGTGTGTCTGGTTGCTTGTTTTTCTCTCAGACGTCGAATCCTTGTGCTATGAAATGTTTCTTCTATTGTGCCTTCTCTATCACTAAATTAACTTGAGTGTACTATGAAACTGGTCTTTAATTTACCTTCTGAAATAATTATTTGGCAATATATACACCCACATGTATTTTATAGTAAAACATACTAATAATACTAATGCTAATACTACAAATAATAATGAGGCCATGAATTTGAGATCTAATGAGAAGGGGACCACTATCAGCTGATAAACAAAACAACCATTCTAAAATTTACTCAAAACTGCTAGAATAGTAAACCTGAACATCTCCCAGAATGCAGAAAATTCATCACATTTGTGTAAATAAAAGCTGGAAGCATCTTGTTCTTCATTCTCCAGTTTGGGGTGTATATGCCTCATGACTCTAGAAAGTTTAGCTTTTCCTAGTAATAGATCTTATTTTCAAGGAAGGTTTCAGAAATGAACAAGGTCACTGAAGAACTCATTCCTAGAAACCAGGCAGATAACTCTAGTAATGTACGTCATGATTTGAGTTTTAACCCTTAATTATGAATCAAGTTGACCATCATTAATTCTATCAATATTGTGCTGATTGCTTTTTGTCAACTTGACACTCACCTAGACATACTGGGAAAAGAGAATCTCAATTTAGGAGTTGAATCCAAGGTGTAAGTTTGTGAGGCATTTTCTTTATTGTGATTGATGTGGGTGACCCAAGACTATGGTGGCAGGCACCACCACCTCTGCTCATGTGGTCTGGGTAGTATAAGAAAGAAAGTCAGTAAGCAACTTTCTTCCATGGTTCCTGAATTTGCTGCAGTGTCAGTGATGGGCTGTGGTAGGACTTGAAGAATTCTTTTCTTTAACAAAAATGTGGATATCTTTTTATTATGTTTTTTAAAGCTGTAGTGGTTAACCAAAAAATACCTAACTGAAAAACATGTATGTCATGGAAGCTTTCACCAGATTCATTAAAGCATTTAGTTCATTGAGAATGGTATCTTCTCAGAGACAATGAGATGGCTCAGCATGTAAAGGCATTTGTGACAAGCTAGATGACCAAGTGTGATAAAAAAAAAAAAAACTCACAAGGAGAAATCACAGGATTGACTCTCCAAAAGTTATCTTATGACCAGCAAACATAGCATAAGCATGCCTATAAATACATACCTAAATACATACATACATACATACATACATACATACATACATGTGTGCATATGCATACATTTACAAATGTAAAGGAGTGGTATGAACATATGAGTCTTCTGATAGTTTATTATTTAAATCAAGAAACAGTCACATAAAAAATCTTCCAAAATACAGAAATAAATTCAGAAGACTCTTATTTTGACTGGATGAGCATAATGTGATCTACTAAATAGGAGAACTAAAATAATATTCACAGTAACTCCTTTTAGCTGGTTAGTACATGGTGCCTTGTATTTCTTCCATTAAATAGAGTATCACAGAGGTACTTAAACTTTGAATTACACTTTGAATTCAACTATGAAAAATATTGTGAGACTGGCTGTGAATACATTCTTAATATGCAGCTTAGTTGTTGAAAAGTTAAGAGTTCAAGGGACAGCTTTCAGAATAAATTCTCAATGGATTTTTGAAAAAAGGAAAAAAATGAACATTTTGATACCGACCAACAGCAAATAAGGATTATTTTATTACACACACACACACACACACACACACACACACACACACACACACACCTGCTATTTGGATGTGAAGAAGAAAGAGGAAGCAAGGAATGGAGCACAGAGGAAACAGAGATGGAGCTCTGAAATGATCAAAGAGGAGATAAACCAATTGTTACTGTATGCTAGTTCCTCCCTTTAAAATCACTGTGAACCTTGGAAAACTGGGGGTGAGGTGGGGGTGGGTTGGGTCTAAGTGATATCTCTAGCAGAACCCTCAGTATACTTCATCCCTTACTCTTTTTAGAAGTCTTATTAGCACTGAAGTCAATTAACTGGCTTCAAGCTGACCATGCTCATGAGATGCTTCTAGAGGAAACTGATTCTGTTTTGCGTTTGCACCGCGTATCCAGCTTTCCAAGCCCTTTTCAAGAATTTCAGTATAATCTGTCTTGACTAAATTGTGTCTTTTCCATGAGGCTAGGAACAACCCCACGTAGTTCTGCCCCCTAATCCTGGACTGCTAACACCCCCTTTTCAGCCCTGAGGCTTCCTTCTACACTCCCTCTGGGAACCTAGTAGGCTCTGCACCAAATCTATTCTGCCCCTTCCTTTTTTTTTAAGTGGTGAAAGGCTGAGCACTCCCATGCGTGGTAAGTGGCCTGTCACTCTGTCCTGCTGTGCAGCTGTGATTGGCGGGAAGGACAAGTCCTCTGGCCCCTCCTCTGCCTGTCTTTGCCGCGCTCCATGGGTTTTTTTGTAAAGGTGGAGAGCGATATCCTGGCGCTTGGACCTGATGGAGCAGCATTCCCAATTTTGACTGCTTTTGTTCTTTCTCAACCGGTGGGCTCAGAGCCAAGAAAAAGCGAGTCCTTTCCTGCTGAAAAGCTTTGGGGAACTGTTGCTCAGGATCTAGGCACTCCTGACGCATCGTCTCCGTCTCACTCCATTCTATGGCTCCACTGTGAAATCACTTGCATGCACGTTTGTAGCCCTGCGAATCCCTCTGCTCACTGCTTGGAGGAGGGGTCCAGGAAAACATCAAGCGTTTGGAAGAGAGGGCTCTGGAGTACTGCAGGTGCTGTCTGAGGTGCTGAAACCTTCCAAGTGTTTGTCTCCACCAGCCCCAGAAGGGCTTAGATGGCACGTTTTTATTTCTGCCCTTCTGGTCCCTCATGCCTCAGATAAGACTCTTTTCAGGATCGTGAATATTGCTCCGTATCATGGCCCACGTGAGACACTTTCGGACACTAGTTTCTGGATTTTACTTCTGGGAAGCTGCACTGTTACTGAGGTAAGCCCCCATGCATTAACACTCTCATTAAGAGCTCAATAAGCCAAAGTATTAAGCTGCAACCACTTGTTAATTAGGAAGCTGAGAAATGCGCGATTGTTTATTGACTTACTGAAACTAGCCTTTAAATCATACTTTTCTGTCTAAAAGACCCTCGTAATCACTCTATTGAGACCTGTAGAAACATGTAATTTCCTGTTATTTTCACTGGATATATGTATTTAAGTAGCTGAACGTTTCCCACGTTACTGTTTAAAACCTAATGATTTAAAAAAAATAGACATTTTTCCTTCTCATGTATTTCCCTTAGATTATTCTTTGAAATGGTGAATTGTGTGTTCTGAATGTTAATTTATTTTTAAAAGTTACAAAATAATAAAAATTTAAAAGTGGGACATTATTAAATTAGAAAGAAAAATACACAACACAGGCATTTATTGATCAGAGAAATGTCGTTTTTAATATGTGCAGAGATTGCATTAAAATGGGGACTTTGAGGTACTTACTACTTTGCAATGACCTAATTCAATACATGAAAGCAAAATCATTAATAAATCATCAGATATGTTCTATGCCTACAGTTGTATTTCTGAAGCAAGCAGCATAAAAGGCCTATCAACTTGTAAAATTGTTGTGATATGACATTTTTTTACTATGTCCCAATCATGTTAGGTAGGCTTTCTACTTTACAGTTACTTAGAAGAGACTAATAGAAGCTAAGTGACAGTTCAGATAATTGAGAGCCCATTGTTAAGCAAATAATATATGAAAGCAAGTGCACATATAGATATTTAAACTAGCAACATAAATTTTATGTTATTATTGTCAGTTAATGACTGTTCTGGGAATTTTCACTTAATAAATGACAACCTTTTCAAGAGTGCCAAAGTTAAATAACTAGAACAACTGAGTTACTTAAGCATATACTGGTTTCCATCTGGTGTAAGAATTTTTCCTTATGCTAGTAAATCAATTTTTAATCTTTTGGGTACCTTAAAAAGTATGCCTCTCAAGAAGTGCCTTGTAGAAAGTCACATAGTTCTGACTTGCCTACATGTAATAGTTGAAATGATTGAGAAGAAAGTTACATTTTGTCCAAATGTTGACTGCCTTCTCTATTGAAGGCTTGAAGCATTTCAGATCAGAGTATTCTCAAAGGAAAGTGTTTTAATATGATTTTATAAATTTGTAACTTTCAACTGACAGAGATTTTATATGTAGGGAGCAAATCAAAAGTATATAGAGTTTTCATGTATATGAAAATTTTATGGGAAGTTATAAAAAGTTCAGATTACAATAAACTGATCAATTTTCCATGATATTTTTTACTATAGTCATTTACAATATTTACATCAAAAGTGATTACATGTATCTTTTAAGAAAAGAATAAAGTCTTTATTGATGCATATTGAAGATCAGTAATTAAGACATGTTAACCAATGAACAAAAATGTGTATAATGTCAATTCATAATAATATTTTAATGTAACTAAATATAAACTCTTCATCATTGCACCCTCAGATTTGTGATATGTTTTTCTGAAATTTGCAAAATGCCAATATGATAATTATAATTGATATTCAATAGCATTAAATAATTAACAAAGGTAAAAGAGCAATCCAATCACAAGTCCTTAGGAAAAAAAAAGACTTCCCCAATAAAGAGCTTATTTCATACTTATACACTTAACTTTTTTCTTTCAAAAGTCAGGGAAAACTTACTTCTTTATCCTAAACTGGAATCAGATGAGAGTGAGTCATTGTACTGTGAAAATTTTAATAACATATGAAAAATAACTATTTTCACTCCCAGTGATAGTCCTTGAAAGAGAATTTTCATGGGAATGAAAGACCACCTTACCGAAAATAATGTATCAATGTCTTCATGGAAGTTATTCTTTGTTAATTAAATCTATTTATGATATATTAATAGAAAAGGAAAAGTAAAGATATCGACTTGAACATAGAAACAAGAACAGCAATCAAACATCAAAATCATTTATAATGTTCTGGTTCAAATAATTATTACAGGTTTTTAAGGTATTAAAGTTTAATTTATACAGATTTCCAAAATAGACACACACATAAAACTTGGTTAAATTTTTCATAATGGTAACATACCAAGATGATGAAATTACAGACCAAGAATTAGAAATATCAACCAATACCACATAGGTGCACACCCCAAATACCACCTCTACCTCCTTTCAAAAACATCACCTTTCTCAAATGCTATTCAATATCCTAATTTATGCCACAAATGTTTTCTTGATTTTGTTTATTATAAATAAAAATAATTTGCATCTTACTCATTTTTCAGAACACTATGTTTGAATGATTATCTATAGTGCTGCAGATAGCAAGAACTTATTCTTGTTAAAATATGCATTCACCTTGCATGACCACATAACAATCAACTTATCCATGGCTCTCAATGAATTCATGAGCTATATTCATGGACTAGTTTGGGCTAATATAATCCTACCATCTTGAACATCTTGTGATGTGTGTGTGCGTGTGTGCGTGCGTGCGTGCATGCGTGCATGTGTGCGTGTTTGTGTGTGTGTGTGTGTGTGTGTGTGTGTGTGTGTGTGTGTGTGTGTGTGTGTGTGTGTAGAATGTACGTGAGTACTGTGTATGCCATGGCTGAGATTTTCTCTGGAAGAATTGCTGGGTCATAGGGCAGGCATGAATATGGTTAGACAAGTATATTAAACTTTGATAGATGCTGTCACCTTCACAAAGCAGGTGTACCTAATTCTATTCTTATAAGTGACATCTGAGTTCCTCTTGTTTACTAATATACAACCTGACTAATGCTAAGATATTGTAAAAAATGTCTAATACTTTCCTTGATGACTATTATATGACTACACAGTTTTTTAAATGTTGGGATGATTTTAGTAATTAAGTTTAACAAAATCAGCCATAATTATCAGAGCAAGATGTTTATTACCACAATGCAATTAGAACTAACTATGAAGAAGACATGCAGGTTTGGGATATTTAAAAAAAATTACAGAAGATGGCTCTTTAAATTTATGTTTCAAAATTGTATAGGCATAGAATATTAATTTCTAAAGTGCTGAGGGTGTTAAAGCTTTCTTGTTTTGCTAGAATATTGCTGTTTTATTAAGCACTTTTTTCATGGGTTTTAGTTTTCATCTTAATAAAACCAGAACCAAAGCATCACTGTTCAGCTCTCTTTGAAATGCAGATAAGTGATTATTAAGAAGGGCTTGCAGAATAAATGCCAAAACATAAAACCACAAACAAAATTTTTTAATGTGGTGGACCACCAACTATAACATTTAATTTTTTATTTATAGAGGACAAACAGAGGCTTGCTACTTGACAAAATTATAACATTTTGTGACTAACCCTGACTTCGTAAATGTCAGAGATCAAAGCAAATGAGAAGAAAACAGGTCTTAATGTATTCCCTCAAAGTCTACCAAAATATTTTGTCATTTAAAATTCTTGGATTTGCTTTTTATTAAGCTCTAGAAGAGAGAACAATCCTTTTGAGTGGCTTTTCTGGAGAAATATGTTTTCTTATGTAACACACTGAAAAATAATATATTTCAAAGAATATTTAAAAGGTCTATGAGGTTAAATAGACTTAATGATTTTTATAGTTTCAATAAATTATACCCCTCACACATGATTCTTCTGCTTTTGAATAAAAAAACTACATATAGATGAATCATAGTCCAAAATTCTAATCTATGCTGCCGATTACAGAGCAGATTATAAGATTCCCTTTTTAAATAAACTTAATTCTTTTTAACTAACACAACTCTGTACTAGGGTATGTCAATCAACAACTGTGTTCTAATGTATAACAGTAAGAATTTCAGTATGATTCACTCACCAAATTCTGCACATGTTTGTATCCAAAGCATGCTTAGTTATGCTTGATTGGGGAACTATCACCACCAAGCATAGGACTTAAAGCACGGAAGAGAAAGTGGGGTCAAGTATCAAGAAATACACAAATTCTGTTTTCTGGTCCTTGAGGCAAAGCTGTTGAGAAGGCTTAATAGTTGTTTTGGGTCATGTCAAATATTCACTCAATAATCAGATAAGAATATTTTGAACATTGAATGATAGTAGAGTTATACAGTGTATGCTTAATTTACTAGAAGAAATCCTAGTTTATGATTTATGATCATATTCTTCTTGCTATAATTATTAACCTGGCTACCATAATAAAACTTGAGGGAGGGAGAGAAGGCCAGGGTTGAAGTGCTTGTTTCTAGGCTATATGACTCAAGATATAATCCTAGAAACAACATGGTAAAAGGGAAAAATGAACTACTAAAAGCCCTCTGTGCTGTGGAATGCACATGCTGCAATTCATGAATACTTATATAAGCATAGGCACACATATAAGTAAATAAACATAAATAATAACAAGTCCTCCCTAATAGGGAGGCAATGCAATGGAATGGAATATGAATAAAATTAGAAGTAATTGACTTAATTAAAACTCAGTCGAAACTATTGTTGGGATAGTGCTAGATTAGAACTTGGATCAAAATACCTATGTATCTCTCTTCTGGAGAGATAGAGTTTCCTTCAGAATTATTGGCAGTTACTGGGTACAGTGTCATTCATGTGGCCTTAGGTACTAAAGAGGCCTGCAGAGAGAGGTATGAAGTAATTTAACTTCTACCAATGTGATTTTAGCAAATATCTATAAAAAGAATGCAAAAATATGCATAAAAACATATAAATAATACAAATATTGGGCAGAAAGAAGACTCACCAGTAGCAAGGGCAAGAGTGCCAGACTCAGGTCTAAACGCCTGCACTCATGTGCATACACACACACACACACACACACACACACCACAAATATACACACAGACCTTTTCCTCATACTGGCTTCTCTCATCCATCCTTGATATGGGGGTTTGTGTTTATTCTTACATGAATAATTTGCATACAAACAGGTCTCTGTGACTTCTGGAAAGAAGCCCTGCGTTTTGTTTACTT